ATGAGGACAAAATCTTAGGAAGGAGTAAATCATTTCTGACAACAAAGCTGTCTCTCTTTTATCCCAATCTCCCCTTGAAGAAATGGTACCCTTCCAGGATACAAAAATAAAATATCTTTATTTTTGGCATTTGCCACTCCCAAGGCCAGACAAGATTAAGAAGAAGCTCAGTTGCCTTCAATTTCTGGAGACTATGGATTGAACTCGAGTTCTAGGTCACTTTTGAAAATAAAATTTTTAGAAACTAGGAAAGTATAGGTGACTGACTGGATTATATCACAGGCTAAATTGAGGGCAGGCAGGCAGCCATAGTGAAGATTACATATTGAAGAATTCAGCTAGGACAGGCTAAAAGAGCCTGTATGGGTGAAGTTACACACTTGTTGGTCAGTGCTGACAGCATTGGACACCCATCATGACCTGGACCTAAGCAGTAACTGTTATGACTAATTAGAGCATTCTGGATATTTCCTATGGCTCATTTTTACAAATTTATTTAATTTTTAAAAAAATATTTATTTATACAAGCATTGGACACAGTCAGAAGCGCAGGAGGGTGAGAGAAATCACCAGAGACAGAGCAGGGAACAGAACAGGCAGACCGACGAAGTACACTGCTGAGGGGAGCAGCGAGCGGCAGGAGAGGTCTGTGCCATGTGGGGCCCTCACCCGGTGGCCGGGGATCGAACTGGCGCTGCAGAGGCTGCGGGCAGCTTCGCAACCCAGCGTTCAATCACTGCGCCACCCGGGAGGCCCCATTTTTACAAATTTTAAAGAAAAATCACTATCACTGGGATCTGTAAAGATGGCTGTGAAATGGTATGAAAGTCAACTAATGTTTCCTTATAGCTGGGTTGACAATAAGCTATCCATTAAAAAGCATCGCAGTGATGTCCTCCATCCAAGGATAATAGTGAGTTGAGTATTGGAAAAAGGAATTCAAGAAATATGCCTTCAGATGTGGAAGGGTCTGGGAAGAAAGAAAACTATTGCTTCTCACTTTTTAAGCCAAAGCTTCATGGTATTCTATAGCACATAGGCAAAGCAAAGTCAGCTGTGGAAGGCAGAGGATTTAATCAGAACTGGCAAAGGTCTCACTGCACTAGCCATTAACGTCTGCTGAGTAGCATCACTAGGATGCTAGCAGTATGATCCAAATACTCAGTTTCTCAACTTCCTGAGTATGTGAAAAACCTGGTTAATAGGAGTCACAGACGTAAACCAAGTGAGATTATAGCAAGAGATGCGTTGAGAGCACAGAGGAAAAGAGTAACAGCTATATTGACTGTTAAGGTCCACCTAGACTCTCCATGCATTCAGTGACGGATTCTCAATCTTGCGCGAGTGCAGTCATCTGGAAATCTGGTCAAACAAGTATAGCTGGGCCTCCACCCACAGAGTTTCTGATTCAGCAAGTCTACATTTGTTAAATTCTCTGTGATGTTAATAAAGCTACACACTGAGTACTGCCCAGTTAAAGTAGGTCGTAAAACACAGCAACAGAACCGCTTCCTTCCCTGCTCCCTAGGACCTGCCGCGGATGAGAGGGATGCGTACCTCTAGGTTAGAGCTCTAAAGCTGTACAAAGTATACAGGATAGTGCATCACTGAGCAGTACTCAGGGTCAGGAAACTGTCGAAGCGGAGTAAGAGAAAAATAGAAGAGGGAGAGAGAAGAGGGGGAATGAGAGAGGGACAGGCTTTTCCCAACACCCCCCCCCCAAAGTAGTGTTTGGCCCCTCAACCCTTGAAACTGTTTCAGTGCAGAGGCACAAAGAAAAAGCTTTCAATAAAATGACTCCAGTTTTGAGTCTTTGCCTTAGAGCACAGAACGCCATTCCAAGGTAAAAGGAGAACTAAACTGCTGTCTGTCTTGGAACGTCTTTCCCTCACCCAAGTCAAATGAAGGGGTCTGCTGTACAAGCAGGTACAGGGTAGACAAAGGAGAGTCCCAGAACCCTCAATGCTCTCTCAGGGAATCAGGTACACAGGCAGGGATGCTGGCAAGCCCCCCAGAACATCTGTGAGCGAATCTAGGAGATTTCTTTTCCCTAGGCGCTCTCTGGCGTTCTCTCATGGCCTCGCCCCCTCTGCAGTCACTCATCCTCTCGCAGCCATCCTCTGCCTCTGCATGACGCTGCCCTTATAGCCCTTGTCTCTAGGCTCAGGTGTACACACTTACGCATGCCCACACCCACACTCCAGGTGTCCACCATCAGGTACGCGTGCCCCGAGCCCACACTCCCAAGTGCCTCCTGCATCAACATGATCAAGGTCTTAGGTGATAGCCACAGAGGCCAGTGGCATAAAAAGCCTGATTATTTCATTTACCCTTTTGCCAAGATAACCAGCGAAGACAAACAGGCAGTGGTGAGAACCAAGCAACGAGTACCTCTGGGATCTGTAGGGGTTAGCATGCTGAGGCTCCTTGCCTGCTCTGATACCACACACGGACTTACAATCCCTACCTGCTGGCGGGGGGTTAGTCTATGCATCTGGGAGAAAGCGTATACACCATCTATTCTTGTGTTGAAATCTCTGATCTTAGTCCTTGTTTTCTAGCTCAAAATGCCTTGGCATGTCACCCCCAACTCTGGGTACCGACTTTTGCCCCATTTCTAGGTAAAATAGCATTTATTACTGATATAATTGAAAGAACAGTTTGGTATATGACTATTTCTGGCTTCATTAGTAATTTTGTATTTTTGTTATTATGCTTTCACTTGGTTACAACTGAAGTTAAAATGTGCAAGTTGCCACTATTTTAGAAAAGTAATTGCTGGTCTCTTTTACAATATTGTGCTTTGTTCCAATTAGAAAATGAAAGCAGAGAGGGAACACAGGCAGTTTCGAGTTCTGAGAATTCAGCAAAACTTCACTTCAGCAATCCTTAAATGCCTAACTTAAAAAATAAAACAGAAATTAACATAAAGCTTTCCCTGGCTCAAGTATAAGGGAGTCAGGCAGAAAACAAGCCCCTGCGTCATACAGCAGCATGACCAGCCTGAAGGCGCTTCAGATGAACGGAGGGAAGGGGGAGATAAAATATGTGCCCAGTCTTGTTTTTTCCTGATTCTCCAGTCATCTTAAAATTGGGAAGACTAAGCTTAGCCTCAGAAGGGAAATATCAAAAAAGGATCCTAGAAACAAGGACAAAAATGAAAATGACTCAACACAGGGAAGAAAGGAACCCAGCAGACAGACATTCAAGGGAGAGCCCTGGAAAGCAGCAATGCTGAGAAGAGATGGGAGGTGAAGCACAGGCAGGCAAGCAGCTGAGAGTCTGGTAGGAAATAGAGCACACCATTGTGCCTGCAACAGAAGTAGCAGAGGGTCAAAGCAACCAGAAGTAAACTGAAGACCTTGTCTCTGCCTTGTTGCAGAGGCTGAGGGCAGAAACCTAAAATGAAGAAAATAATCATTAAGAACAGCAGTCCTCAAACTCAAGTGTCTTACAAGCTTCACCTGGAAAGCTTGTTTTCCAAATACAAATACCTGGGCCCCTTCTCACCCCATGCTTATTCTGATTTTAGTTCTGAAGTGGAGTCTGTATTTTGACAAGGACCCCAGTATTCCAAAGCAGGTTGTCCAGCGGGCAGTTTGCGATGCACTGATTCAGAAGTCTGAAGAACTGCTTTAGAATAAGTATGCCAAGGCTAATAGCAATTAGCAATTCATTTTCAGAAGAGTTTTCATAGGGGATTGTGTAAGAGATCATCTCTTGGGGAGAGATGTCACTTAGTGGGAATTAAATTAAGACAAGTCAATACTCTGGAGGATGGTCTCCTGGGGAATGTCTATTGGCCCAAGTTTTCTGCTCTGAAAATCACCACAGTGAATTCCAAGAGATGACACCAAAGAGAAGAGAATTCTGGGTAGAGAAGCCTTCAGACAGGCCCATCACCAGCAAAAGCATCCCATTAAGGACAGGGCTTGACATTAAGATGGAGACACCCACCTACACTTACCTGTGCAAAGAGGGAGATGCTTTACTGTCCCTTGCTCCCCGATCTCAGACAAAAATGCACTTCTTGCCTTAAAGGGTTCATACAGCGCAGCTACCCAAAAAAAAGTGGTATCTTCCCTTCCACCAGTGACTGAATTCAAGGACATTTTGTTGAGTGCTTTGGTGCCTTTGGACATAAGGGGCAACTGACACCTGGGAAACTAGAAACCTTTAAAACCTTTCGGGGTTTTAAAGGTGGCCTGAGGGGACACAAGATGAGTAAAACCTAGAGAGACTTTGGCCTGTTTCTTGGGTGAGAGAATACGTCCCAAACGGGAGGTTTCCAGTTACTTCAGTGCCCTCTCCTAAGTGGCAGATGGTGCCTGTTGAGAATCAAAAAAGCCTCACTGGGAGGCCTGAGAAATTGCTCTTGTCATGAGGCATGGAGCAGCTGGCTAGCTGCCGTGAGCCCTTAGCAGGGCAGCAATGGACTGCCACATCGCCTCAGCAGACTCCTCCAACTGCATTCCCAGAGCTGCCAGCCCCATATGTGACAGCATCTTGGCTTTTGCTTTGTAGCTATTTGTCATTAGCCAGATGTTTCTGGCTACTTATGGAAAAGAGGAACCTTGCTAGGATGGAGGACTGGTTGGCCGTGCCCAGAAGTTGGGCAGAGGTCCTGGCTTCCGGAAAAGGCTGGATATGTCCATTAGTGTTGCCAAAATCAGATCCTCTCTATTAATGATTATAAACAATTATACACAATTATGCAGGAGGGATAGAAGAACAGCTGTTAGGCCAGGATTCTAGGTGGTGAAAAGCAGAAAACAGGTACTTTTTACCACCCAAATCTGCTTAAGATAAGCAAAATAAGAATGTGTAAACTAAAATTCAACTTCTACCCTCAAATATCTGGAAAAAAAAAAATAGGTTTAATGAATGTCCCACGAAGTCCTCTCCTAATCACTCAATGTCAAATATTTCCAAAGTCATATAGAATTCAAGAATCGGAATGTTCCTGTCATTATGACATCAAGAGCAGAGAATGCCTTGTTTCTACCCTTTCAGAGGCTTGGTGGGACACGATGTCAACCATCAATGGTTCTGCTAATCACCACCTAGAAATACAAGGAGGGTGCTTTTCCTGAGACTTTCTTTCACTCATTCAGCTTCTCCTAAATGCCAGGTTCCCTATCAGGTACTTATACTTCAGAAAGATTACATAGTCACAGTCTCTGGTCTTAAGGAGCTCAGAGCCCAAGAGAGGAGAACGACATGACTGCAGCTGGGTGTGGTGAGTGTTAACACAAGCTTGTGTATGAGGAATAGTGGCAGCATAAGGAGGGAGTAACCAATCAGTCTAGGAAGATTCCACAGCAGGGGACGAGCTTGTGGGCAGCTGGGGATGAGGGGGAGGAGGCAGTCAAGGTAAAGGCACACTAGCAGGAAAGATACTGAATTGAGGGTGCTTAAAAAGTGGCTCAGAAGCATTAGAGAGAGAGTCCTTGTAGGAGAGAGCAGGGGAGAATAGGCTAGAGAGACCACACCAGGCCACCAACTTTCTATTGCTTTGTACATAATGGGTCTTATCCCTAGATTTTTCTTTAAAACAAATACTTCCCATTCTAGGAATTCAACAAATACCTACATGCCGAGCACTAAAAGAGGGGCCCTGGGGGATAGGCCCCTAAAGAACTTACACCAAACCTAATTGTGGGGATTAAACATACACACCACACAGCTAAAGAAAAGACAACACATAAACAAGTGCATAAAACTATAAATGGCACAGGCTACACAAAGTGCTAAGGGAATTCACAGGTTCTTAGTTTGAGACAGACCTTAAATACCATTTAATTAGAGAACTGTTCAAACGTTTGACTCTCCTTGACAAATCCTTGCCAAATGAGGCCCCATGGGATGCGGGAAGCTTAGTTAGGCCCCGGTCTGGTCGAGTCCAGAGGTCACGAACCCCACAGTACCCAGAACGCTTTATGGCAGTGCCAGAGAGGTAAGCCTTTGCCATGAGAATATCCTACAAGGACCTTTCTCTGCTGAGGTAACGACAAGACGGTTAAGAGCAGAAGAGCTGCCCAAAGTCCTCATCTTTCATCACAACACAACCCACAGAGAACATTTTATATATACTATTTGTTGCTTTTTATAGCTTCCTCAAAAGATGTATTTTTTTAAAGGTTTATTTATTTATGCATACACGAACTGGGGTATAGGCCAGAGGTTCAAGGGTGAGAAGATTTACCAGAGACAGAGTTGGGAGCAGAACACGCAGATCTACTGAAATACACCCGCAAAGGAGCGGGTAAAACAGGAGAGGTCTGCTGTGCCATGTGGGTCAGCTCCCTGACTGGCCTGGGATCGAACTTAGGCTGTAGTGGCTGGTAGCAGCTTGATAGTGCTGTGTCTTTAACCCCTGCGCCACCAGGGAGACCCCCTCAAAAGATATATTTTTAAGCATAAATATTTTACTGGGTTCATTATGTATCTCCAGACTAAAGGTCTTATGTTGTGGAAAAGAAACATTCAGTTTGGTTTTTGGCCAAAGACATTTTCAGGCCTCTAGAGAACTCAGTTCATGATCTAGGGTATGAGAAGCTACTGCCTTCCAGTAGTCCAGAACTTCCCCAAGTGAAGCCTGCTGGCTGTGGATAGGCTGGACTGGAGTTTCTCCTCATTCCTTATAGCATGACGATCTCTGGTCCTGGCTGGGAGATAAGATCGTTGTCCTTCATTACTCTGCCAAGCCAGGAAAGCTGCCCAACAGTGGGGGCACAAATAGTGGCACTCACCCTCATAGAGGTCTCACCGCCGTGGGCCTGCTGCAGCCTGAAGACCTGGGCCACCATGTGCTCCGTGGAGGGGTGCAGCAGGATCCTTCGTGAGGCTAGACCCACCATTACGTATCGGCCCATTGGGGACAGGCTCACTGAAATGGCATTGGGACCTGAGGGCCAACAGGACAGAGAGACATCATCCAGAGTTCTTGCCATTCCAAGGAAATAATTTTCATTCTTAATCTTTTCTCTCCCCGCCCCCCCAATCTTTACCTTCATTTGTCACTCTGGGATTATCTTACAGGACTGTAGTGAGAAGTAAATTGAGAAGGCATGTAAAGTATTGAGTATTATGTTGGTATGTAGAAAGTATGTGATAAAGCGGTATGCCATAATTACTATTTTGAAACCTATCTTTTTACTTTATACATTATGAACATTCTTCTATCATTAAATATTTTTCTAGGCATGCTTTAAAGCCAAATAGTATCTTCTTATCAATGCACACCATCATTTATTTAAGCAACTCTACAATTTGGTATTTTTTTCTGATAAATAACACTGCTGTGAACATCCTTGTATAATCAATCTTTGTAGAGTTTTCTGATTATTTCTTTAGAAAAGTGGCATTGCTGGATCAAAGAGAACATATATTTTGCCTTACAGTGTGTGACTGTGCCCACCCCCTCAAGCCATGACCAAAGCATCTCCCTTATTCCTGGTTGTCACACCAGAAACATGTTCATGATGCTATAGTGGTAGGGAGGACTCATACTGTGAGAGTCTTCTACAGTGCTACTGGTCAAGACCCTTGTAAAGCAATCTTCCTCAGGCCTGTGTCCAGTGAAGCCAGGGTGGTATGCCCATCACTCCCACCTAAGCCATGCCTCACCTAGGGATGCCCATTGCCAAGGTACCAGCATTCCTCTGTCACTAGCTGGGCTTCCTATCCCTTACCAAATCGCTTGGTGTAGAGCATTTCACCCAGATTATGGGGGGCCAAGGAGTATACTGCCAGGATGCCTTCATCGGGAAAACCCCTTTGGCTGCTAGGGATGAAAGCTGCCAGGAGCTGGCCATCTGCAGAAATATCACAGCTGGCATCATTGTAGATCTTGCAGTTCTGCACCAGCACATTCACGGAGGCTGCATCAAAGAAAGAAAAGAGGGTAAAAAAGTTTGGAGATGATTATGAAAAATTCTGGGACAACAAAGAAATTCAGGGGCCTTCCTAAGGACCTGAATGCTCTGCAGACATGCTAAAGGCTGCCTTGTCAATCCAATTAAAATGTCATGGAACAAGAAACACAAGAGCAGGAATGATACATCTCATCTACCACTTTAATAGGAAACTACAGATAGTCAATATAACTACAACCACCTGCTGAGTTCTAGTTCACACTTAGGAAACATCATTTGAGAGATGAGATAAGGAAAAATTATTAAAAATTGTTCCTGGAGAGCCACTCAACAGCTATTACTGTCCGAAAGATCAAAAGCAAGATGAATGAAAATGTCAACTGATTCTAGAAAAAGGTGATACAGGTAAACAGCTCTGGGAGCAAGAATGTTACTCCACACCTGCTGCTATGTGATCTTAGAGAATGAAGTCATTTCAAAAATTTGTGTCTTTCTCATTTAAGAGACTGCAACATTTAGAGACTCAATCTTCTGGATAGCTCCTTGCTAACACCAATCCCTAACTCTACAAGGAGAGGAAAAAGAGGAGCAAAGCCCAGGCCTGGCTGGATGGCTGGGCTCTTTTTATTTCCCATTATGCTCTACGCTTTGTGCCTCATTCAAACCATAAGCCAGTGTCCGTGGGCAGCTGCAGTTTGCATTTAGCTGTTAATGAGAATAAAGCACAGGGCCAGCCAGGCAGCAGGTTCTGTAAAGGCAGTAATGAAGGAATGTCTCTTGGTGGGGAGAATCCGCTCCATACGATGGGACTAATGAGAGATGGTGGCCAGCACCAGCACTGTGCTTGCATGCTTTGTTTCAAGTTCCCTTGAATCCCTCTATGAGGTCCACAGTACAATTTCCTGCCAGGAGAAGTGGGCTTAAACACATCATGGGCTTAAGCAGAACAGCACGGCACATCCAAAGGGACCAAGTTCCTCTGGGCTTTGTCTCATTTACATCAACTTCATGTGCTTATGCAAAGAGACATTTTACTCTAGTTTGAAGGCTATTACTTAGATTTCCATTGTCAGAGGCATTATGCGAAACAGAAAAAAGGGAGAAATGGCCAGTTGAGCTGCCTTCCACAGAGTCGGGGAGATCTACTCCAGTAAGCCAAAAGGTAAGACCCGGGAGGTGAACCCTATGAGGTTTCCACAAGAAAGTACTTAAGGAAAACAAAGAATTGCTTTTCAAGGGCCTTTAGGCTTACGGGATCAAGGACTCAGAGTGATTTCTAAAACTCTATATTCATCCCCCCTTTCCCTATATGTGTTGTTAATGAAGCCACACAGATGACAGAGTAGACCAAAAAAGACATCAGAACACATTGATTAGGCTATTGTGCCAACTCTCGGGGGATGACACCTACAGCACTATTACACATAAAACCGAGGAGGGACCACAAGGATGGTTCTGTTTGCTAACTAATAAAATAATGACATCCAAACACTCGTTGCTATCACCATTAGGGCTCTGTACTGTTCAACTTCCAACCCACCATCTGCTCTAGCCTGTACGGCTAGATTTATCTACTTAGCACTGGGACCGTCTGCTCCTTACTCAGGGTCCCAGGCCTGTTGCCAAAAAGATGACAATCTCTTCCTCCTCCCCTGGAACGACACATGATTCCAGTTGGGGATACAGAACCAAAGGAACTGAGGGAAGCTGAGGGAGTGAGTCCATCTTGGTTTTCTAACCCTGAGGCGGGTACAACCCTCAGGTAGACAAAAAGAAACTGACAATGTAAACTGTAGCCACCAAAGGCGGGGAGAAAAAGAAAATTAAGTGATCAGAAAAATTAAGAGATGAAAATAAGCAGGGAAGGAGATGGGACTCTGGACTTTAAGACAGTTTTGCAGAATTAACATTTACCCACATTTAATGCTCAAAATGCTTGGTGGATATTTTATCATAGCAAGGTTTTTTCCTATGGTACATTATATAAAACTAGATAGATCATGTGTTTCATGTCATTCAGACATACAGACCCCTATAATGACCCTCAAAACCAACAACCAACACTATAACACGATAACTGCTTACTGCCCAGATTAATTTCTAAGGGGAGTAAGGAAAGCTTGGGGCGGGAAGGAGAGTAAAAGTAAGGTTTTCCTACTTCTGGAAAGCTTAGCTGTAAGCTCCTTAAAAACTGGGCATATAGACAAAACTATTTTGTCAACCTCAAATCCAAGTCACTGTGTTTGTGTGTGCATTATATTATGATGATCCCAAGTCAGTGGCCATCTTTCAAATGGTGTCTCCTCCCACCACTCCACCCAATTCCCATCTGCCCCAGTTATTGCGGTGAGTTTATGACAGG